AATTTTAAAAAAAAAAAAACCTGATTTTTGAATTTTCAAACTATAAACCTTATTTTTGAATTAGTGTAAAGAATACACCTTATTTATGAATTTTTCCCTAACTAAATTAGAGGCTCAAAACTCGGACCCAGTTAAGTGGAAATCACATTTTAGAAGAGGGACTTTAGTTGCCACAATTGTTGATGTTTGTTGCTCTTGGCCATTGATCACAATTTGAGATCTACGGTGTGGATGGACTATAAATTAGGCCTTGCACTGTTGCCCTGATTAGCTTTGGTCATCTAATTTTTTTAAGCCTTTTAAAATTATGTCTGTACGTCTGTTTGTCCGTTCGTCTTCTCTAATCATCTTCAACCTTTGGTTGGATGACTTTCTTCTAACTTTCTGAGTGAAAAGTATATGTGATTCTATATGTGAGATAAGGATGGGTGGTTCTTTGTTGATGACTTCTAGTCCATAGAAGCAACATCAACAGCCATTTAGGGCCTGAGTTTGATGATTTCTAGTTTGTACAAAAGGTTACAATGCTTTGAACTCTAGATCGTTAATTTTGAGATGCCTTTGGTTGTGCCTTAAGTTATATTTTTGGGAAAAAATAAAAGTTTGTGCTTTGTTTATTCGATTTCTTGTTCTAATAAAATGGAATGCAAGTATACAAAAAATATTTTGTCAAAGAAGATGATAATGAGGAGTTTCTATAACTTTCATATATTACGTATATCTCAAATAAGAAATCGACAATCTCATTTCCATACTGTTAAAAAATCCTTCTGAAGAGTTACAACCTTTAATTTGAGTTCGAACTATTCAAATAAACAATTACACAATCAAAGTAATGTAAAAAGTGGCCACTAATGCACTTTTGGCAAACATCACATACTTCATTTTAATACTGAAAATAATAATACTACTTCCAGGCAGGCTCAATAGATAGGGAACGAGTGGCCAGGACAGGGAAGTACGTAAGTTCCCATCGCAAATGCCAAAAGCATGTGCTATGCCAGTTAACGTGAAAGTGGTACTTTCAAGGTTCCTTCTTTTTGCTCGTATGTTAGAAAGAAAATGAAGTGGCCTAAAGAGTCCAAGGGTTTCAAAGTGACAACTAGCAGGGATGTGACTTTTAATGAGTCCAATATGCCATGTTTGAGT